CTACTGATGCACAGATATAGGACATGCAGCAGGAGATGTAGAAGGGATCTAGGGGTCAGTGGACCACAGGATGAACATGAGCCTACAGTGTGATGCAGCATCTAAAAAAGCCAATGCAGTCCTAGGCTGCATCAATGGGAGTGTAATGTGAAGTCAGAGACCCGGACACGAACCAGCGGATTCAAAATACAATATAAGGAATTAAATTCAGCCAAACATTAGAAAACACCTTACTGTAAGAGCTGTTCGACGGAGGGATGGATTGCGTCCAAGGACTCTCCTTCTTTGGAGATCCTTAGGCAGGAGAGCTTTAGCTTTGAGCATGGCAGGGGGTTTGACTAGATAGCCCTTGGAAGTCCCTTCCAGCTCTAGGATTCCATGATTAGGATGAGCTCTTTGGCCCAGGAATGGGTTCCCCCAAATGGTGTTGGTCTCTCCTTCTTTGGAGGTCTTGAAACAGATGGTTGTTAAACCTTCAGAGCAGAATGGGGACAGACTAGGTGGCCCCTGGGGGTCCCTTCCAGCTGGGTCAGACCCAGCCAAGAGGGGATTCCTCCTAGTCTTTCCCATAGGATCCCCAGACGACAGGTTCGACAGTGGAACACATTGCTCCCTCAATGGAGATTTCGGTGGAGTCTCCTTCCTTGGAGGTCTTTAAGCAGAGGCTGGATGGCCATCTGTCATTGGGAATGCTTTGATTGGGAGTTCCTGCATGGCAGAAGGGGGTCTCTGGATGGCCCTTGGGGGTCTCTGCCAACTCTATAATTCTATGATTCTATGATTCTATGACCCTTGCCCATGTAGGGTTTATGCAAAGGCCAAGGCAAGGACACTGGGCCAGGGCCAAGTGGGAATTTCCACCAGACCGGAAAATGTAACTTCCTCAGGGATTGTCCCATGCTTCCCAGTACAAGGAGCTGGTCACTGTGTGAGGGACTAAAGAGTTGGCTTAGTTTGCAAAGAGGCCGGAAACGGCAAAGGAAGGGCCTGGCCTCCATCGCACTCCGGAAACTGACAAGTGCCTTTCTGGTTCTGCATTTCTAAATTTGGGAATCCAAAAACCAGACATGGTGATAAAAGCAAGGCCATGGAGAGGAAGGAGGAGGCGGAGGAGGTGGTCCAGCTTTCGGCTGGTCCTTCCCCAAACTGTGCATCCCTTGAACACTGTTGCTGACATTGTTGTCAGAGTCAAAAATGGAGAAAGGGTAGGACTAGATAGCCCCTGGAGGTCCCTTCCAACTCTAGGATTTCCTGACAGTCAGAGCTCTTTGGCCCAGGAATAGGGTCCTTCAAAGGGTGCCTTTAATGGTTGTGCAGAAACGGAGAAGAGCCAGCATAGTGTTGTGGTCTGACCATTATTATTATTATTATTATTATTATTATTATTATTATTATTATTATTATTATTATTATTATTATTATTATTATTATCTTATATCCTGGCTTTATCCCAATATAGGAACTGAAGCTGGCAAACAGCATTTTAAAAAAAAAAAATAACAATAATACAAAAGCATTATAATGTATAAATATGAAATTAAAAAAACCCACAATTTTATTGGGGTGCTTTGATTGAGAGTTCCTGCATGGCAGAATGGGGTTGGACTGGATGTCCCTTGGGGTCTCTATGATTCTAATTAAACAGTTTTAAAAGTTAAAACAGCTATGCATTAAAATGTTAAAAAAAAACCAACTATATACAAACCTTAACATCTAAATTACACAGCATTTGAAACCCAACCCTTGACAGTTTTGGAGTATTGGACTAGGACCGCAGGGAGACCTGGGTTCGAATCCCTGCCTCGGCCATGGAAACCCACTGGGTGACTTCAGGCAAGTCACACTCTCTCAGCCTCAGAGGAAGGCAAAGGCAACTCTCCTTTGAACAAATCTCACCAAGATAAATGGACGGAAGGGTCTCTTTTGGGTCACCATAAGTCAGAAATAGCATGAAGAAGGAGAAGAAGAAGTGGGCAATTCAGCAGATGTTGCTTGTCATGCAGCCAAGCCGCAAGCGGAAAACCTGCAGAAACTCTCTCTTCCTTCTGCAAAACCCTTAAAGGCAGAGGAGCCCTCTCTGGTTTTCACTCTGGCAGCCCTAGCTTCTTTCCTGGCGCCTGTGCCACTGTGCCAAGGCTTGCATTTGGATGGCCATGGGTCACAGGAGGTCTTTTGGTTGTGTCTTCCTGCATGGCCAAAGGGGGTCGGGCTGGGTGGCCTCTGAGGGTCTCTTCCAACTCTCAGGGTCTATGATTCTACCATCTTTAAACAGAGGCTGGATGGCCATCTGTCACAGGGGGATGCTTTGATTGTGAGTTCCTGCATGGCAGAAGAAAGGGGTTGGACTGGATGGCCTTTGAGGGGTCCCTTCCAACTCTAGGATTCTGCGATCTCCAGTCTCCAGCTTTTTGGACCCAGGGCCTCAGGTGAAGCTGTCTGCCAACCTTCCCACCTGAGGGCCATCCAGGGAGCCTGCCAGGTAGAGAGAGGTGCCAGGAGAGACCCTCCATCCACCCCTCTCTCTTTTAAAAGCCCCACATCCAAGAGGAAGGGACCTACCTGGGCTCAGGTGTGCCCGGCCTTGGCCATCATCTGGCCTTTCTCCCCCCCAACGAGGCCAGAGAAGGGACCCTCAGAAGAAGAGGCTCTCATGCCATGCCAAGGCAAGATGCCAAGATGGCAAGCCTGTGTCCAGAGCCCCCCTGGGCACCTGGGGAGAAGGAGGGCTCAGCCCTGGCAGCCTCCTCTGGCCCTGGGAGAGGGATGCCCCCAGCCAGGAAGGAAAGGACCCTGGAGGCAGAAGGTCTGGGCAGCAGCACCAGGGGCACCAGGGCTGCGAGGGAAGAAGGGAAG